GCCCTGAACTTTGTCATTAAAGAAAACTGCAAACTCATTACATTTAGATGTGGAAATTAGTTCTAGTGGCAGTGGAGCTGGAGGGTTTGTTAATCTGTTCACTGTTGCAAACAGGACACGAGAGTTGTTACTGCAATTACCAATAATGTCCGAAAACTACTTCTCTCTTGTTTTACTCAAAGTGTAGTTGTACATATGCATTGTTCCTCTGTAAATCTCATAATGAACCTGGAGGTTTGACTTCCGTCACTCCCTTTTCTGTGCTCTGACTGAGTCATCATTCCTCCACGGAGCTTTTTGCCTCTTTAACCACTTTAACCTTTATCGGGGCGATGGCATCCAGAACATTCAAAACACTCAAAGTCACAGAGTTCAACACATCATCAACATTAGAACATGAGGCAATTTCAAAATGTATCATTTCCATGAACAGTGCACCTGTGTTATCATTTATGTGTCTCCTTCGAACAACTGTAGGAGCAGCCGGTGGTTTGGGAATAACAGACGGTCAAAGAAGACACAGAAATGATCAGACAGAGCAACATCAACCACACTTGACATTTGAAATATTTACACCCTTTGTAATGAGCAGGTCCAGAGTGTGTCCTCTGTTGTGAGTGGGCTCACTGACATGCTGAGTCAGACCAAAAGTTTCAAGGACAACACTAAGCTCTTTGGCATTTTTGTCACACACATTATCCACATGTACATTAAAATCACCTGTAATGACTAAACCATCAAAGTCTGTGCAAACAACTGAAAGCATCTCAGTAAAATCATCAATAAAACTTTGACAGTGCTGAGGAGGTTTGTATATGACGATGTAGAGTCTGGACGGTGATTGTTTTAGCTCCATTTTGAAGGAAACATACTCAAATGATGAAAACACCCCAAATGACAACCTGTGTGTAACCAAATGATCTCTAAAAAATGCACACACTCCTCCACCCTTTTTATTTGCTCGTGTTTCAGATTCAAATTTGAAGTTGGGAGGGGTTGATTCCACTAGCACTGCATGACCTGTGTTTTTTGTCAAGCCATGTTTCAGTTAAAAACATAAAGTCAAGATTAAAAGAAGAAATAAAATCATGAATTAGAAATGATTTGTTACATAAAGATCTGACATTGAGCACAGCAAGTTTCTGATTAGTTTCAGTAGGACTGGATGTTATCTTCTTACAGGGAACGTGAACTAAATTTCTCTGATTAGACAGTCTAACTGTCCTTCTTTTAATCTGTCTACGTGTTGTAACTGGAGATAAAAGCTCCATCGCAGGGCCCCAGCCTGATATTACCTTTATCATGACTGTATGTCCTGGGACAGCAGAGGCCCTGTGCGTCCAGCTCTTGGTGATAACAGCTCTGGGGAAAGGCGGGGGAGGGCGAGCAGGGGAGAGTTTGGGTAAGTGACCAGGTGAGGGACCAGGTGAGGGCCGAGGAGGTGGCCGAGGAGGTGGAATACGGGGAGGTTTGGGTGAGGGGCCTGGTAAGGACCGAGGAGGTGGAGTAGGGGGAGGTTTGGGTGAAAAATTAGAGGGGAGAGCTGAGAGAGTCTCTGGTGGTGAAACAGGCACAGTTTTGTATGGGGGAGAGTTCAACATAACCCTTGACCGTGCTATGTTAGGTGTGAGAGGAACCATCTTGATTCCCGATCTGATGAGGCTTTCTAGATGGTTGGGCAGTGCCATGGGTGAAGGTGGGGAGGAGAAGGAGAGTGAAGAGTCCGTTGATGGAGTAGATGTAGCAAAGGGGACTCCAGGCTGGTCTGTGGGCAGCGGAGGTGATGGGTGTGCTGGTGGCGCTGGGGGAGGGGGAGGTGGTGCTGCTGACTTATTCTCTGGGGGAGGGGAAGGTGGTGATGCTGACTTGTTCTCTGGGGGAGGGGGAGGTGGTTCTGCTGACTTGTTCTCTGGGGGAGGGGGAGGTGGTTCTGCTAACATGTTCTCTGGGGGAGGGGGAGGTGGTTCTGCTGACTTGTTCTCTGGGGGTGGTGGTTCTGCTGACTCATTCTCTGGGGGAGGTGGTGCTGCTGACTTGTTCTCTGGGGGAGGGAGGTGGTGATGCTGCTGAGTTGTTGTCTGGGGAGGGGGAGGTGGTTCTGACTTGTTCTCTGGGGGAGGGGGAGGTGATGATGCTGCTGAGTTGTTGTCTGGGGGAGGGGGAAGTGGTTGTGGTTGTGGCAGTGGTGGTGCTGTCAATGGTGCTGACTTGTTGGCTGGTTCTCTGTTAGGTGCAGCAGGGATGCTTCTCCCATTTCTCTTTTCTCTCACTGGATGCACAGGACCCTGTCCAGGCCGGTGCCTCAGAGCGTGGAGGAGGTTTTCCGTCAACACTCTCACTCCACCTCTGCTTAGGTGTGGGCCATTTCCCTCGAAACAGGTCCTTCCGTTTCCAAAAAAGATCAAAGTTCTCAATGTAGTGCAATCCTCTGGCCGCGCACACATTCAGCAGCCACGTGTTCAGCTGAAACAGTCGGGTAAATTTGTTCCTGTTCCTTAGGTCTATGTTGGGAACAGGTCCACTGATAAATGTCTTAACCTCCACTTTATTAAGCTCCTCGAATAATTTAGTGAAATCCCTTTTCAAGACTTCACTCTGTTCCATTCTGATGTCCACTGCACCCACATGCACAATCAGCTGTTTGACCCCTTGGTGTGTTGACAAAACTTTTGGCAGGAGTTTTGTTATCTCAGAAACAGTGTAGGTCGGGTAGCAGCATGTTAGGATTCTTCTGTGACTCACACCACTGATGCCCCGTCTCCTAGCAGCAACGTATCTCTGACCTTGACGTTTGGCACAGATTCCCCGTCTGCCTGCACTCTTTTGGCAACTTTATTGTTCTTGTTTTGTGATGACAGTACATTATCCCTTTGTACGTTAACATCAGTCTGTGACAGTGGTGAAAATCTGTTTGTTAGCTTTATTGTGGGTGATATAACGATATTAGCATTGTCTTTTATCACTCGCTGCGCTGGCTTAGCATTTTGGTCTGTACCAAGTTTTGGAAAAGACACAGTATCACTCAGGTTTAAGTTGAAAGAATTTTCACCCTCTTCTCTAGAAGTAACTGTAGGTTTCTCACCACTGGACGTCACTGGTAGCGTCTGATGAAGTCCTTTTTCAGTTTCTAAAGCAAATATCTGTGCTTGTAGCTCATAAATGTCTTGTTGATAGTTCCGACAGCGCTCACAGATAGAATTCCCTTGGTTTCTTCTCCCCGACATGTTGCTGGCTCATCAGATGATTTGTTAAAAAATGTAAAAATGTTTAAAAGTATTAATTTGCTTAAAAGGAAATCAAAAATAGACACATTATCCGTTGTTTGAGGAGGTAAACTGATTAAAAAGCGAAAACAGCAGGAGCAAGCAAGGATAGCGTCCGCACTCTTCAGAAGCAGGAAGCACACAACACACACACACAGACACACACACACATACACACAAACACACACACACACACACCAAACACACACACACACAAACACACAAACACACAGACACACACACAAACACACACACAGGCGGAACTTTACATATCACCGGAACCTTTCTTCGCGCGTGTTTCCAGCCGAGCCTCAGAGCGCACGGACCACGGCGTGTTTACATCGGAGCCGGTGAGTCTGGTTCGGTTCTTTTCGGCTCTTTTCGGCTCGGTTCGGCTCGGTTCGGCTCGGTTCGGTCCTGTGGAGATGGAGAGTGCGTGGTGCCGCCTCGGGCCCGCGCGTTGGAGCGCGCTCACGCACAAACGGGTGGCAGTGCACGCGGACAACGGGCACGAGCTGCGCGGGCTCGTGGTAACGGTGGATCCGGTGTCCGCGAGGTGAGACTCGAGTCAGACCCGGGACTCCGAGTCACTCAGGTCTAGTCTTGGTCTAGTCCTGGTTTAGACCTGGTTTAGTCCTGGTCTAGTCCTGGTTTAGTCCTGGTTTAGTCCTGGTCTAGTCTTGGTCTAGTCCTGGTTTAGTCCTGGTCTAGACCTGGTCTAGACCTGGTCTAGTCCTGGTCTAGTCCTGGTTTAGTCCTGGTCTAGTTCTGGTTTAGTCCTGGTCTAGTCCTGGTCTAGTCCTGGTCTAGTCCTGGTTTAGTCCTGGTTTAGTCCTGGTCTAGTTCTGGTTTAGTCCTGGTCTAGTTCTGGTTTAGTCCTGGTCTAGTTCTGGTTTGGTTTAGTCCTGGTCTAGTTCTGGTTTAGTCCTGGTTTAGTCCTGGTCTAGTCCTGGTTTAGTCCTGGTCTAGTTCTGGTTTAGTCCTGGTCTAGGTTTAGTCTAGTTCTGGTTTTAGTCTGGTGGTTTAGTCTGGTCTAGTTCTGGTTTAGTCCTGGTCTAGTCCTGGTTTAGTCCTGGTTTAGTCCTGGTTTAGTCCTGGTTTAGTCCTGGTTTAGTCCTGACTTGTCTTGGTCCTGGTTTCAGTCTGGTCTTGGTGGACTTTAGTTCTTCTGAGGTCCAGGTGGTTTTGGGACACGCTGTTAAAGAAGTCCAGATCCTGGACCAGAACCTGGACCCGGACCTGAAGACCCGACTGGAGACCCTCTTCAGGGACCCGGGTGAGTCCGGCTCTGATCCCGTTTAGTCTGGTTCAGATCCGAGACCAGGACTGAGTCTTGTCTCTGAGCAGGACCCGACCAGGACCGGAGTCTGGACCTGGACCGGATCAGGACGCGGCTCTTGGACTGGATCCGTCTGAACCGGATCCCGGCGGAGCCTCGGGGGGCGGGGCTGGAGGTGGCGGGGGGCGTGGTCACCGTGAACCCGCCCTTCAGGGTCCAGGACTGTGTCGGTCTGAACCAGGTGGTCCTAGACCGGGTCCAGAGACTGATCCAGAACCAGCCCCCGGACCAGGACCGGGACCAGGACCAGGGACCAGGACCAGCCACCGGACCGGGACCAGGACCGGGACCAGGACCAGCCACCGGACCGGGACCTGGACCAGGACCAGACCTGAGACTGTTTTTGTTTTTCAGTTTGTAAATAAATAAAAGTTCCTCTTGTGTCTGTGTGAACTTTGAGCTTTGACCCTGAGGTTCATTTTGTTAAATCTTCATGTCGATGTAAATCAGGTCCTGACCCGATACATACATGACCTGAGTTTATCAGTGTGTCAACAACAAAGACGTGAAAGTGTCAACACACAAACACAGACACACAAACACAGACACACAAACAAACACAGACACACAAACACAGACACACAAATGTGGATAATTGGTTTAGTTCAGGGGTCAGGGGTCACCCCTCCGCTGGGTCAACGACACAAATCCTCAAAAGTTCATGTTTTATTTATTTTTTTTGTCAAAAACTTTTACATCTTGAATTTTGTTGATTTTTTAAAATAAAAAATTGGATTTAACGTGTCCAGTGTGTGTATCGACTCAAAAGTGTGTCGTGTCCAGTGTGTGTATCGACTCAAAAGTGTGTCGTGTCCAGTGTGTGTATCGACTCAAAAGTGTGTCGTGTCCAGTGTGTGTATCGACTCAAAAGTGTGTCGTGTCCAGTGTGTGTATCGACTCAAAAGTGTGTCGTGTCCAGTGTGTGTATCGACTCAAAAGTGTGTCGTGTCCAGTGTGTGTATCGACATCTGAGCAACATCTGATTTAAAAGAGAAAAGACCAAAGTTCAGTTTGAAGCTTTTTATTTATCTACAGCCGAGTCATTAAAGGGCTCAAGTCCAGAGACCAGGTCCAGGTCCTGGTCCCGGGTCCTGGTCCCGGGTCCGGGTCCCGGGTCCAGGTCCGGATCGGGGGGATTGTGGGTCGTTACATTCACATCAAAGTCTCTGAGAAAAATGCAGCAAAAGTTTCATCAAAACATTTCAGAAAAAAATCCAACAGAAAATCCAACATTTAATCCTCCTCATTTACATAAACCAACATTTAATCCTCCTCATTTACATAATCCAACATTTAATCCTCCTCATTTACATAATCCAACATTTAATCCTCCTCATTTACATAATCCAACATTTAATCCTCCTCATTTACATAATCCAACATTTAATCCTCCTCATTTACATAAACCAACATTTAATCCTCCTCATTTACATAATCCAACATTTAATCCTCCTCATTTACATAAACCAACATTTAATCCTCCTCATTTACATAAACCAACATTTAATCCTCCTCATTTACATAATCCAACATTTAATCCTCCTCATTTACATAAACCAACATTTAATCCTCCTCATTTACATAATCCAACATTTAATCCTCATTTACATAAAATGATTTAAACAGAAACATTTACATAAAAACTTAATTTAAATAATTATTTACATAAAAGTCAAAAGTGCCAAATACTTTGAATTAAAACAATAAAACCAACGTCACCAAAAGAACGGCTGCAGGGTGTGAACGGCTGCAGGGTGTGAACGGCTGCAGGGTGTGAACGGCTGCAGGGTGTGTGAACGGCTGCAGGGTGTGAACGGCTGCAGGTGTGTGAACGGCTGCAGGGTGTGAACGGCTGCAGGGTGTGTGAACGGCTGCAGGGTGTGTGAACGGCTGCAGGGTGTGTGAACGGCTGCAGGGTGTGTGAGCAGCTGCAGGGTGTGTGAGCAGCTGCAGGGTGTGAACGGCTGCAGGGTGTGAACGGCTGCAGGGTGTGTGAGCAGCTGCAGGGTGTGTGAACGGCTGCAGGGTGTGTGAACGGCTGCAGGGTGTGTGAACGGCTGCAGGGTGTGAACGGCTGCAGGGTGTGAGCAGCTGCAGGGTGTGTGAACGGCTGCAGGGTGTGAACGGCTGCAGGGTGTGTGAGCAGCTGCAGGGTGTGTGAATGGCTGCAGGGTGTGTGAACGGCTGCAGGGTGTGAGCAGCTGCAGGGTGTGAATGGCTGCAGGGTGTGTGAACGGCTGCAGGGTGTGAACAGCTGCAGGATTTGGTGTTTCGGTGACGTTGATTTCGAGTCTTTGAGGCTCTGAGGTTAAATTCTTGTTTGAGACGTGACGAGTTTAAATGTGATTTATTCATTAATTTATTTATTTAACATGATTCCATTAAAACTCTGAGCTATTTACAGCAGCACCTGCCTCCTCACCCTGTCTCCTACCTCCTCACCCTGCCTCCTACCTCCTCACCCTGTCTCCTACCTCCTCACCCTGTCTCCTACCTCCTCACCCTGCCTCCTCACCCTGCCTCCTACCTCCTCACCCTGCCTCCTACCTCCTCACCCTGTCTCCTACCTCCTCACCCTGTTTTTGATTCAATCTTAAATTCTGCTATTTTTTTATTTTTTATTTTAAAAAGCCTGAGTTTTATTACAAAATGCTGAGACTCTGAACTGGACCTAAACCAGGACTAAACCAGGTCTAAACCAGAACTAAACCAGGACTAAACCAGGTCTAAACCAGAACTAAACCAGGACTAAACCAGGTCTAAACCAGGTCTAAACCAGAACTAAACCAGGACTAAACCAGGTCTAAACCAGAACTAAACCAGGACTAAACCAGGTCTAAACCAGGTCTAAACCAGAACTAAACCAGGACTAAACCAGGTCTAAACCAGGTCTAAACCAGAACTAAACCAGGACTAAACCAGGTCTAAACCAGGACTAAACCAGGACTAAACCAGGTCTAAACCAGGTCTAAACCAGGACTAAACCAGGACTAAACCAGGTCTAAACCAGGTCTAAACCAGAACTAAACCAGGACTAAACCAGGTCTAAACCAGGTCTAAACCAGGACTAAACCAGGTCTAAACCAGGTCTAAACCAGAACTAAACCAGGACTAAACCAGGACTAAACCAGGTCTAAAGCAGGTCCAGTCCTGGTCCCAGGTCTTTCAGAGCCTTGAAGTGAAGATTGTTTGAGCTTAATACTGTTCAGAAGAAATAGTCTTCAGATCCTCCTCTGAACCAGTTACGATCCTCCTCTAGACCCGTCCAGACCCCTGTAAAACCGGTTATGATCCTCTGAAACCCTGTAAAAGTGAGACCCTGTGAGTCCGGCGTAGGGGGAGGAGTCCCGGGCCGTGATTGGTTCAGACGGAGTCCTGGCGCTGGGCCTTGTTGCCGCGGCGACGCAGACAGGGCGTCACCATGGCGACGGCTCCGGCAGCGACCGTCAGGGCGAGACTGAGGCCGGCGCAGAACAGCGACCAGCCGAAGCCCTGCTCCACGTCCGACGGCAAACCGTAGATGAACGGCGGCGTGCGCGAAAGGTCATAGGTCACCGACGACGTGTAGGTCACCAGAGAGATCGAACAGAAGAGACCTGAGGCAGAAACCGGGTCAAGACCGGGTCAGGACCGGGACTAAACCAGGACTAAACCAGGACTAAACCAGGACTAAACCAGGACTAAACCAGGACTAAACCAGGACTGTCAAGTCAAAAAGCCCAGCCCCTGCACCAAGTCTTCACCTCCGCTCCTGAGCCCCGTCTCCTCTCACCTCTGGCCCCTCCTCTTCCTCTTCACTGCTCCTCCCCTTTTTATGAGTTGATGAGGTTATTTTTAGTCTGGCCAGTAGGTGGCAGCAAGAAAAACAGTCAGGTGACCAGGTGAGTCTCTGGATCATTTCATTTTGTCCAGGTGAACAAACACAAACACAAACAGAACCAAACGAAGGAACGTGAAGGAAACACAGAGACACTGCTGAGGAAATTGACCTTTTAAAATTAGTTTGAAGTTTAAAGGAAATAGTAAATAAATTCAATTTAAGTTTGAAAATGCCAAAATAGAGCTAAGTTGAATAACTAAATTGTTTATTTATAAAGTAGTAAATCTGATTTAAAGAAAATGACTTAAATTCTAAGTTAAAGTAGCTCTAGTTAATTGTATATATATATATATATATATATATATATATATATATATATATATATATATATATATATATATATAAATATAAAAATTTATATATACAGTCCCTGACAAAAGTCTTGTTGTTTATCCATTTTGTAGAAACAAAAGTTTATATCTGACTTTAAATGAATCGATTGGTTTTAGAAATGTCTCATATGAAGCTAAAACCCTCCCAAATTATGATCAATAAACTAAAATAAATGTTCTTCACTGAAGAAAGATTGATCATTTAATGAACACAGAAAGGTCAGATTTTGACAGACAAAAGTCTTGTGGTCTTGTCATATGATGCACCAATCCTAGATTACAGCCTCACCTGTGATCAGTTACTGATCAATCAGTTAGTGTTTGAGTATAAAAAGAACCCAGCAGAACCAGACCTTCACATCAACTGCAACTTGACCTCTGACAACATGCCTCAGATCCACCCTGAGACCAAAGCCTTAATTATCAAGAGGCTGAAGACCAGATCCACTGCTGAGGTGGTGACACCTTCAATGTGTCTCAGCGTCAAGTACAAAGAAGAAGAAAAAGATCTGAAATGACTGGAGATGTTTTTGACAAGCCCAGGTCCAGCAGACGCCGCAAGACAACTGCTCAGGAGGAAAATCCAAGGCTCCTTTTCCACTGCAGCAGACTCCACCAGGCCTGGTCACCTCAAGTCCCTGTGTCCACCACAACAGTTTGTAGAATTCTGTCTGGAAATGGCCTCCATGGTCGAATCAGTGCACAGAAACCAGCACTAAACAAAAGACAATTAAAAAACCGTGTGGCATTTGCCAAGACCCACAGCCTGATAAAAGGATGGACACTGGAAAAGTGGCAGAAGGTGGATTTCTCAGATGAATCCTCGGTTGAATTACATCACAGCCGCCGCAAATATTGCAGGAGACCAACTGGAGCCACATGGATCCAAGATTCACCCAGAAAACAGTTAAGTTTGGTGGAGGAAAAATCCTGGTCTGTGGTTCCATCCAGTCTGGGGGTGTGAGACATTTGCAGGGTGGAAGGTAAATATCAATAACCTAAAATATCAAGAAGTATTAGCTCCTCTTACATTCCCAACCATAAAAGGGTCAGATTTTGCAGCAGGATGGTGCTCCATCACATACTTCTATCTCTACATCAAAGTTTGTCAAGGTGAAGAAGATCAAGGTGCTCAGGACTGACCAGTCCAGTCACCAGACATGAACATCACTGAGCAGGTCTGGGG